GGAGCTGGGAAGGGGCTGGAGAGTTCTTGGGGGAGCTGGGAAGGGGCTGGAGAGTTCTTGGGGGAGCTGGGAAGGGGCTGGAGAGTTCCTGAGGAGCTGGGAAGGGGCTGGAGAGTTCTTGGGGGAGCTGGGAAGGGGCTGGAGAGTTCTTGGGGGAGCTGGGAAGGGGCTGGAGAGTTCCTGAGGGAGCTGGGAAGGGAATGGAGAGTTCCTGAGGAGCTGGGAAGGGGCTGGAGAGTTCTTGGGGGAGCTGGGAAGGGAATGGAGAGTTCCTGAGGAGCTGGGAAGGGGCTCAGCCTGGAGCAAAGGAGGCTCGGGGGGGACCTTTTCCCTCTCCACAACTCCATGAAAAGTTGGATCCAGGTGGGAGTCAGGATCTGCTCCTGAGAACCAGGAACAGGATGAGGAAACGGCCTCTGGCTGGGCCAGGGAAGGTTTAGTTGGATATTGGGAACAATTCCTTCCTGGAAAGGGCTGGGAAGGATTGGAACAGGCCCTGGGAGGTTTGGAGTCCCCATCCCTGGCGGGATTAAAATCCACGTGGATTTGGGAGGACACTGACCGGTGACCGCAACCAGCGGGAATGCACGACCCTGGAGATCTTCTCCAACCTCAACAACTCCACAATCCTCCAACCCCTGACGCACCGAGCCCCGCACAGACCCATCCCACAGGAGCACCCATCCCACCATCCCCATCCCAGCCCGCTGCCGGCGCTCACCGCGGACGACGGAGAGGTTCCGGAGCGCCGCGGAATGCTCCCAGTCCTTCAGGCGCAGCTCCTCGGTGACGTTGTTGAGCAGGGCCAGCTCCAGCCTCAGCTGCCGCTCCGTGGCCGCCTGCCGCGCCCGCAGCCGCCGCCCGTCCGCGCTGGCGTCGCCCAGGAGCTCCCGCAGGTCCCGCAGCCGGGAATTCTGCAGGAGGACGTCGTAGGAGAGGCTGCGGTTCATGGAATCCGCGGCCACGGCCAACGCCGCCACCTGCTCGCCCAGGGCGTCCAGCCGCCCGCCCAGGTGGCCCAGGAGGTGCTGGTGGTGCTCCAGGAGCAGCCGGCTGCTGTTGGCGTCCACGGAGAGCCGCGACAGCTCCAGCCGGGCCGCCTCGCCCTGCTGGGCCAGCGAGTCGCGCAGCCGGGCCACCGACCGCTCCGCCCGGCCGGCCTGGCCCTGGAGGTCCCACAGGAGCTCCTCCAGCCGGCGGAGCGAGCCGCCCAGCAGCGACAGCGAGTCCGAGTGGTTCTGCAGGAGGTCCTGCAGCCTCCAGATGTGCTCCAGGAGGTCCCCCTGGGGCGGCGCGTGCAGCAGCTGCAGGTCCCGGAAGGTCTCGTTGAGCCGCTGGACGTTCCCCAGCAGAACCTGGAGGTCCTCGCGGTTCTCCTGGGGCCGGGACGCTGCGGAGGAGGAGAGCGGCGGGAGGTCAGGAGGAACCCTTGGGTGCCGGCTCCTCCCGAGGACGTTCCCGGTTCCTCGGGGCCTGCGGGTGGAATCTCCAGCCCCGAAGGTTCCTCCCGCCGGCCCCTCCTGGGATCCAAGGCTGGAGGAGGAGGTTGGGAGGTGGAGAAGGGCTGGAGGGTCCTGGGATGGTTTGGGTGGGAAGGAACCGCAAAGCTCATCCCGCTCCACCCGGACAGGGACACTTCCCATGATCCCAGCCTGCTCCAAGCCCATCCCAACTTTCCTTGGGCACTGCCAGGGGTTCTCTGGGAATTCCAGCCCAGCCGGGAATTCCTGCCCAAGATCCCAAAATCCCAAGCTCCCCTTTCCCACTGGGAATTCCATTCCCTGGCTCCTGCCCCTCCAGCCCTTCCCCAAATTCCAGCTCTCCCGGAGCCCCTTGGGGATCGGGAAGCGGCTCCAAGGATTCCCTGGAGCTCAGGGTTTTCCTTCGATCCCTTGGAGCTGCATCCCATGGGATTTGC